ACTCAGAGCAGTTAACACTCTGATTCCATGTATTCACAAACAAAGTTTTAGTAAAAATACTGAATTATAAAACCTGATTTCTTTTGTACAGAAGACTTGTAGTGTTTACTGAAAGCTTGTCAATATAGTATGAAGACTCTGATGGTTACTTGTAGTTACAAGGTTGGTCACATCACCCAACTTCATATGAAAAAAAAGAGTTAATAAAGTAACCCGACTAAGAAGCACCAGTAGCACAGCTGTTTTCCATCTAATCTGCCACTTAGAGCACGACAGTTAGCCCAATTACACTTTTCAGGCTGAGTGGATCTGTCTTTGTGATATAGGATGTTTGATTGAGTTTTTGACATGATCAAAACATAACATGGTGTATTGAAAGAAGTTTTGTCACATTAAAGGCATATTCTCATATGTTACAGAATAAAAAAATTTTGTTTTCAGTTGGAGTTTTGGCTGCAAGAGCTCTGGGAGACAAACAGATGATAATGGTTTGTAGTGAAAGATAATCAATGCATTTTTTTGTGTCATAGGTTTAACCTACATAAAATATATCTAGTTAATCTGAATTGAATCAACTTATAACAAATACAACTGGTACTTAAAGCAACATACCAACAGGAATCTGAGGTTCATCATCACACTTGTCTTCTTCAGTCTCATCAAATAATAAATCTAGAAGTTTCTACATAAAAATTAAAACACACAAAGGATGAACAGAAGTGAACTGTAGGTACAGTTGTGGTTTATATGTGTTGCTTCATCTTTTTTTTTTTTGCCCATTAAAAACTCAAGAAAATATTTTTATTATCTTTAATTAGAATTCTTGTATTCAACAATAACTTTCCCTCCTAATCAAACTTTTAGAAATAAATTGACTTTACGACCCAAAACATATTTACATACAGATCAAACTCACTGTTACTGACAAATTTACTCTTTTTCACAAGAAACAAGCATAAACAAAAACTGACAATAAGATTATACAGTTCAACTATAAAACATTACTGAATTCCCATTTTTCTAAAGTTTAGTAAAGTACATACTGAATAGGTATGTTTTTAAAACCCACTTAATTGTGTGGTATAGTTTTCCTCACCTCTCCTACATCAGATGTCATGATATTTACCTTTGCTTCTGCACGAACAAGTCTGTAGGTTTCAATGCCTTGAAGAGGTTGTGAAGGTCCATGGCAAGCTGTAAAGCATGCAAGATAATTCAATTAATATTTTTTGCAAAAGAGAAAATTGCGTATTGGATGAATTTATTGAAAATTGTGTGTGTCATAGGATCACCAAGTTACTAGTTAGCTACTGTTTTATTATTGCTGTTAGATATTAATTACCAGTTAGTTTGTGCTCTATGTTTCAGCTAGTGTGGTGGTAATAAGAACTGGGTTTTATTGTACCAGTAGCATTTGTTATAAGTTGATTCATGCCAGAGTAACTAGGTTTGGTTTATTGAGGATGAACCTATGACACACACTTCATCCTCAATAAACCAAACCTAGTTACTCTGGCATGAATCAACTTATAACAAATGCTACTGGTACAATAAAACCCAGTTCTTATTACCGCCACACTAGCTGAAACATAGAGTATAAACTAACTGGTAATTAATATCTAACAGTAAAAACTATAATAATAATGAAACAGTACCTAACTAGTAACTTGGTGATCGTAAGGGCTACTATCGATGATATCTGAATGCCTAAACCTTACTTCAAGCACTTATGTGTATTTAAGTTGAATAAAACTGTTAAGTAAAACACAGAAATCTCTTAAAACATTTATTTAAGTTTCTATTTTGGAAAAACAACTATTTTTTTCTGTAATTCATATTCCACTTGAAAAATTTAATAAGAGCTTCTTCTTAATTTTTGGGACACAATCGAATAATAAAAATATTAAACTAAGTTCATAAATTATAATAGCAAAGTTAAATCATAATTAAACCATGTGATCTTTTGTCATTCACCATTGGCTATATCTAGCAGAAAGATAAAACACTGACCAACTACACAAGTTCCGTGAATATTAATCACTGAGACAACCTATTATTTTAACCTCCATTTACTGAAAGCTGGTGAAATTTATTTCACACCTTTGAACACCTCTTTACATGTTAAGTATTTTAAGAAACCTTTTTGTTTTTCTAATATACGGACGGAAGACAGTTTCCTACACAATAATGACAAATAACCTTATTGTAAATCACTTCCGAGTCATTAAAACTGCAGACTTATATTCCCACAAGTGATCTTAACTTCATACACTTTCTAAAGTGAATTATTATAGAAATTGTGAAACCAGCCAATTCTGCACTTTCAAGAGCCACTTCTATGTGTTTCAAACTAACACCTATACATATAAGGACTGTAATAACACTAACAGAGTATAAAACACACAGTAATTACTACCACTTTACACTTTCATCCTAAACGTTTTCAAAGTTAATTAATTTTGTCATTGTTTGATTCACGAGAACCCATCTATCAAACCAAAATTTTGATGTATTATTTTTAATTATTAAAAAACATTGGACCAAAATGCACCCATGTTAGAAATGTACGAGAGATATAATATAAAAAATTTAGATGTACAACGTACCAATGCATTTACTTAACCCTTTCTGCATATCAAATTTTGAAATGTAAGTAAAACTAAGAATCCTAATCTTATTTCAATCATTTTTAGCTAACATTTTAGAATTGATAACTCATTAATTTTAAACACTTATTCAGTATAATTTGCCCTCAGAAAATAAAAAAAATTACAAAGTTAATTTCTAAAAAGCGCTGAGGAGTCTACCTTTTTCTTTTTAGAAACACACAAATGTTTATTGAATTATTTTTCTCAAACCAAAGCGTAGATTTTTTATTTGCTAAAAACTATTATCTATTGAGAATATGATAATCCATGTTTTATTTCTCACGTGATTTTACTTCTCTTTCGCTGGTTTAATTAGTACAATCTTATGTTTTCGTCCTTTCACGATCTTGCAGCATGCAAGCCAAATAACTACTAATGAAGTTCAGACTTGAAAACAGCTGCAGGCAAAATTTAACCATCATTGGATAAATAGATTATAAATAATTTATATTAAAGTAGCACGAATAAAGTGGTATGAAAAGTAATTTATGGTTTTGTGTGATGGTGACCAGACATGGCTTTTACAGAGAAGAACAGAATCTAATGGAAAGTATAAAAGATTGAGAAACAAACCACAGATCTGGAAAATCTTTTATAGTTTCTTCATATGTTTGTTTCATTCTGTAAAATGTTTTAGTGTTAAGTTGTATTATTTGAAAGCTATGGAAATTTTCTTCTATGACAAGACATCAGGTAAGCTTAGTTAGGTTTAGCAAGTACGTTAGATGACAGCAAAATATTCTGATGACTTTCATCCTTATTAATTAATTCCACCACCAAAGGTGATGGAGGTTATGATTACACCCGTGTGTGTGTCTGTCTGTCAGCAAGATTTCTCGAAAATGGCTGAATGTATTTGGATAAAAGTTGGTCTACATTTGGGCTGTGATCCAATTTATAAGTGTTTAATTTTTGGATTGGTCAAAGGTCAAAATAAAACAAAAACTATCTGTTACCATGGGGACCAATTTTTCACACTATTATTGTTCTATAACTCAGTCAAAAATTATTGGATTTTGGTGAAACTTGGTGGACATATGTAGAATATTATTCCTCATTGTCCTGCCAAAAATGTTCTGTGTTCATTGGTAATGACGGACATACAGACACAATTTCATATTTTTTGATAGTCGAATATGATCAACGCTACGTGGTGGAGGTATATGCTCTACTGAGTGCCCTCTAGTTGAATATGATATTAAAGTTTATCATATTCAAACAATGCATGACTGAAAGAACTTGTTTCTTAAAAATACAGCATATTAATTTATTAGACATAAACTGATCTCAACTAAGTATTTTGTTTATGAAATAATATCATCTAGCCAGACTTGATACCATTTTGACAGGCTCTAGGTCACCAATAAATATTTATTAGACTTTGAAGTGTTTTAACCATTTATAGCCAGAAGTCGTATCTACTGCAATTAGCAAAATAAAGTATCAAAAGAAACAGGTTAAAGAATATAATCAAGTTGAAATTAGCTACATGTATAACACAGAACTTACGATCAACAAAAAAAATTTTAATTCTAACAAAAATAAATATTTCAACATGGAAATTTTACAACATAATAATTTCAAAGAATAATATAAAATCATATCAATTTTTTCAAGATGAAACTATATACCATTTAAAAAGTTTGTTTCAAGTTTCACACAATTTGGTGGAGTTTTTACACTATGAGAAGGAAAATAATCACAGAATATTAGTGACACCCCTCTAGCCCAGAAAGAGTTGAATGTTTAAATTATTATTATTAGAAAAGAACAAATATTGTGTCAACAAAACACTTATGAAACTACTTTGTAATGAAACGATTTCAAGATAATATTTCTATGAGAACCAAAAAATTACAAATCACACCTGCTGCTTCTTTGAGGTGTCGATCTTCCTTCTGAAGTCCCTCACGGAATGATGGGTGTCCATGTTGTACTAGGTATCCAAGTAGCTTCAATACCTATTACAGAAATCAAAACAAAAAGCTATGACAGAAGCACATAATATTTTGTTCAACAAAGGACTGGACAAGTTTTAAAACATACCATTTGTATAAAAAAAATAATAACCTGTACTTTGTACGACCAAGTACAGAACCCGTGTCACTACCTATCAAAAAGTGAGCATTGATGAAAGAAATGCAGAACTTTCACTGATAACTTTAGCTGAATTAATAATTCCTTGAAAGTACTTTCAAAACAGAATTTAACAATTCACAAGTTATGTTCTTTTTTCCCATAATGCAACATTTAAAAACTACTTTTTTCTTTACACAGTTTTTTCTGACTAAGCTCACAAAGGTTTATGTGTTGAAACTTTCTTTATAAGTTTTACTTCTTCTTCGTGCAACATTTAATGGACAAAGTTGAAATATGTGAGCACAGATGTTCCACCAAGTTTTAGTTTATTACTAATTTTAACAGAATTTTGTGAATTTCATCTCGCATCTCAACCACTACTATGTCCATCGTATTACAGCCAGCCTGAAGAGCCCTGGTATTGGGTGACATGCCTCGTAAATAGCAGATATAGTGTGGTCGACATGTTCTCGACTTTCATTCAGTTCTTATTAATAATGAACTTTAACGTCCAGTTATTTAACAATCTGGGTATAAAGGAAATCCAAAAAATCACAAAATGATTAGAGTATATTTAAAAACTGCATGAAGTGATGAATGAAAAAGAGAATATGTATGTGAAGATGAACAGCATAAGTTAAAAAGTTTTTTCTAACACGACTCTCAAGGACTTGTTTTTATATCTTGCACCTTTTCCCAACAGCATATAATTAAAAAAATTAAATTATTACTTCATGATATATTAAAGTATAAATATCAGTGGACTATTAGACATTACTCAATTAGAGTATTTTCAAAGTATACTTTTACCAGGTTTCAGAAATACTTGTTACTTGTTTGTTTCCTTGAATTTCAGGTAAAGCTACACAAGGGCTCTCTATGCATTAGCCATCCCTAATTTAGAAGTGATTAACTAGAGGGAAGGCAGGTAGTCAGCAGCCACCACCACCACCAACTGTTGGGCTACTCTTTACCAACAAAAAGTAGGATTTACCATCACATTATATTGCCCCCATGTCCAACGGGGTGAGCATGTTTGGTGATGTGATTCGAAAGCACAACCCACAGAGTGTGAGACTAGTGCCCTGACCACCAGTTTATGCCAGGCCTAGTTCAGGAATATAATTAACTAAAAGGCAAGTAGTACAATAAAATAAAAATACTGCAACATCACCCATAATTTACTGTTCACACAGTTGTACAGAAACATACCTTGAGTTTAGCAACACAGATCCACACTGCAACATCACCCATAATTTACTGTTCACACAGTTGTACAGAAACATACCTTGAGTTTAGCATACACAGATCCACACTGCAACATTACCCGTAATTTACTGTTAACACAGTTGTACAGAAACATACCTTGAGTTTAGCAACACATATCCACACTGCAACATTACCCGTAATATACTGTTCACACAGTTGTATAGAAACATACCTTGAGTTTAGTATACACAGATTCCCACTACAACATTACCCGTAATTTACTGTTCACACAGTTGTACAGAAACATACCTTGAGTTTAGCAACACAGATCCACACTGCAACATCACTCATAATTTACTGTTCACACAGTTGTACAGAAACATACCTTGAGTTTAGCATACACAGATCCACACTGCAACATCACTCATAATTTACTGTTCACACAGTTGTACAGAAACATACCTTGAGTTTAGCA